AACATCTAAGAACTTCATGCCCACTTAGGTCTGATTTGATTGATTAGATTACGTGTACTCTGTATGTCATGAACATACGAACAGGATCCTATGACCCTTGGCCTAGTCTCTTGATTAGAGAAAGTCTCTTGATTCCGGTATCAAGCTGCCTTCGTCCTCGCAATTGTTTTCAGACCTTTTGGACTTGGCCCGTTAGCTGGGTGTTTTCTGAGGCCCAAGCTGAACAGGAAAGTGGACCAAGCGATTGTGCAGAGCTGCTGATAACGCGCCTCAGCATAACCAAAAGCCACCAGGTCGCTTGCTCTCAGCCCATGTGGAACTTATCGTTATCGAACGTCATCTGCAAAAAGCTAAGACTCTAAGACTTCACTGGGACTCCTGCATCTTGATGGATCCCATGGGCGCAAAGTTGTCTGCTGGCCACGGAATGAGAGTGTGATAGGACCTCAGGAAGATGAAGCTTCGATGCAAATCAACCATGCATCGAAGAAGAATAAATCAAGGTCAAGGGTCAATACAACGAGTCAGGCCGTTAGTTTGCAATCCAAAAAGTTCCGCCAGTTGCGCCAGTATTGCATGGCAAGGAAGCGTAATACCAGGCTGCATTGAACCCCAAGTGGAACATGACATGTCCACTGTGTAACGTAGGGTGTCAGTTCTGGTCCACGCTTCGACCATGAGCGTTGGCTTTGCATTCCTGCCATTCCTGTTGTTTGAAAGATTTGGCACAGCTTGCAGCTGGCTCAGCCACCTCTCTCCAGTGACTCTCCTGAGCTCCAAGGCTGTTCTTCAAGCGGGCAGCTGATGGAGATGCATCCTGGCGCTTCGCTGAGAAAATGTCATGTGTCCTGTCAACATCAATCATGACCACCCTGGAGTTGATGGAAGCCACATCTTTAGAATGCCAAAAGTGGTGCTCATCTCTCCATGACCCAGCCATGTTTGACATCGAACGTTTATTGTTTGCACTATCTGCCAAGGCACACGGCGCTACATGCATCAGCAACAAGGATAAGGCCCCAGTGTTCCCAAGTCGGGAAGAATCCAAAAGGCTGGCCTCTCCATCCATACTCCAATCCTGGCTTCAGCACGCTTGCGACGCATCGATCCGTTCATTAATTAGTCACTAGGTTGGAGTACACACAATGAGAATACAAATGATAGCGAGTTCCATTTTACAGAGAACTTTTCACCCAACCCAAAACAAAATGCCCCATGCATGCTTGTCATACTTTGCCGAACATGTCGTCTTTGATGTGGAGAATATCATATATATATATTATACATAGAGCAAGAGAGAGAGAGAGAGATGAGAGGCCATTCAAGTTTGTGCCTCAGAATTGCCACGCTCTGCAATTGAAAGCTCTTTGCGCTTGTTGCTTTTTGGATACGGCCGTTGCAAGCACTGTAGCACTGGTATGTAGTTGTGTCAAGAAACATGTTGTGTTGAGTACTTCTTCAATCTCACAGCTTTCTATGGGCAAGCTCATGAAAAGCTACGGAGGCACCAACCGAAGTTGCGCATAGCCTCTCCATCTTCCGCTGGCCCTTCTCGCAAAGTGCAAATGACCTCGTGAGGTTGGTGAGACTGATTGTACGACGTTTGCTTATATCAAAGGTGCGTCTTCACAACACAAAGCAACTGTGGAATATACAAAATGACATGAAATTACTTGTTTTTGCATGTTATTGTATGATTGCCTCATCTATGGGGGTCCAACTGCACTCCAGTAAAGGCCCCTTGGATGACCTTTTTCTCTACAAACAGGTGGTTTCCCACTTCCCTTTGTATTTCAGGGAGTGTAACTCTCGGTCTTACATCCTGGCTTCATGTCCACGCCTGAGCATGCCGTCGGCTTGAAGCCTGACAAGACCGACAGACCGTCGCCGAAGTCACTAATCACCAAATGATTACCCAAAACTCCTCGACACCCAAAGTAGCCCACCCATGAAGACTGGGCCTCATCTGACTTGCCTTGGCAAAAAGGAAGGAAAAAAAGGCAACCAAGGACGAACTGGACGAAAACGCCGTGAATCTGTGGAGGAGGAGCATGAGGGTATCAATGCAATGCAAAAACACAGGTTTTCGGATGAGGGTGTCAGTTGTCAATCCACAATGTCGTACGCAGCAAAGCCATTCTGAGCACTCCCACGAGCAGTCCCTATAGTCACCACATAGATCCCTTTCAGCTGATGCCTTCCAACACGGCAAATGTTTTCAACGACGCTTTGATGGCTCACTAGTCTCCTCCCGGATTCTCAAAAGCAATCAGTCTTGCCTTAGTGACCTAACATATATCAATGTGTTTGCTAGTAGGTTGGAGGCCATCGCTGTTAGGTTGGAGGCTATTGCTAGTAAGTTCCTTGTGCTGTTGTAGGATCAAAACTCTGCCAAACATGGCCTGGTGATGTCGATGCCATGTCGAAACACTTGGATCCTAGGGCCATGTCGGTTGCAGGAAGAGCACGCTCGCAATCTGACTGCAGGCCAATCTACAAGTTCCAATGCGCCTTACATTTGGTGTGTCTGCTATTGTAAAAGCAAGAAAACAAGTCGGTTATGTACACAAGTGGCTCCAAAAACATTCGCACAGCTTTTGACAGTGCTTTATGCGCCACTCCACATGCTGGGTGCCCCGGCATGGCTTTGGCTCGAAGGACCCACCCCAAGGGAGGAGCCAAACGTTGAAACACTTAGAGGACACGCTCAGAATGTAGTTGGATCCAGTAGGGAGAAGCTTAAAAGTGCCAACTAAGCCGCCAACTCGATCTGTCTGAATATGTGTGAACTCTCTTCTATGCTGTGATGTTGACCTAATCTTGGAGTTGAAAGGTGAGCAAATCACCTTTGTGCTCTTGGAGCGAAAACGCGGCCGCAGTCAACAATTTAAAGCACAAAGGAGATAGAAGATGGAAGGACAATAGACTCTGCCTCTGTGCCGATAGCTGGGGCACTTCGCTGCAAACGTCCTGATGGTCACCATCGTTTATATACCCAGAATAAAGCTGCCTTCCGCACCGCCTCAATTCGGCCCTCGCACCACTCTCGACCGGCCGGAGTTTCACGGACGTCGTGCTGTGTCCCAGTGTCTCACTGCTTTTCTCGGCATGAGAGGCGGCAGGGTGCCGCTTTCCTTTTGCACATCTCACTGTGCACTCGCCACCAATCCTCCACAAAGTCTGAAGCAGAAAATCTTCGAAATGAGTTAGAAGAGGCCAAGTCTTTGCAAAAAAAGCCCCCCAAATGGATGCACCGCGACCAAATATCACAACAAAAGAATCATCGCCCGCAAATGTCTCAAGATCTTCGAACTCCAAAACCCTGTTTCAAATCGACTGCCGTTTCATGGCAACACAAGCACCTGAACTGAGCTTGTCAATGAATCCTTCTATCAAAGGGGACTGAATCGGGTCAACTTCATCTTCCGTTCCTCATCCCAACCACTGCGGGCAACGGGAAGATTTCGTTGCCAAGGCTTTCGAAGAAGCCCGGGCCAATGAAGGATCTGCAAAGCAGAGTGGAGGGCACCAATGACACAGTTCTGATGACACCCTGAAAGTTGCGTATGATTTGCATGAAACATAGCTTCAGAACACGCTGGGTTGAGAGCACAGCAGGTCTTCAACCTGGCTGCTCTCCAGTATAACCTTGGAAACCTACCCGTTTTACTTATCTTGTTTGAGCCGCTATGTATATAAGTCATATGCAAGGAGCGCTTCCAAAAAGATTGAAGAACATACTGTTCTGTGGGTAAAGCCAATGCCTTTGGACGGTGTCTCATCTGGCGAAAAAGCCAAGAACTCGTGTTGCTTTGAGAGTCCAAGGCTGCTACGGCCTTGGCAACACATGCACAGTAGCAGCAGTTGATTCCTCTCAATTTTTGTATACGTAATGTTCCTATACTTGTAGAATATATAGGTCCAAATGAGGATGGCGTCCAAAGGCTAGCAGCAGTAGATGGGGACCTACTGCAAACGACCAGGCTGCGGCTTCAAGGATCATCGTCACAGATCGTCACATCGTCCCCCCTCTGAGACCCTGTGCCATCTGGAAGACCTGAGGATCTTCGAACCATCGCCCGGTTCAATGGCGTTCAATGGCGTTCGATCCTTTCCGTTTAGAACAAGTCTTTTGCTTCACCAAATGTGCGACAGCAGGTCTCGTTTCTCACAACTTCACAGTTTGAGTTTCACTGTGGCTGGTACATGCGGAAAGTCAGCCAAGAAGTGGTAGTCCAAGGGCAAGCGACAGTGATCCAAGTGGCTGAGTCTCTCAGGAGGAAGGATTTCCTCCGTAAAAAGCGTTCAGGTTGCGAAATTCAGATGAGTTCAGTGCTATGTCACTCATCGATCGTCTCCTCAGCGTGGACAGGTGCCCATACACTACCGGCCTGGGTCAGTCGAAAGTCTAAGAAAACCATAGAAAATTTCATGACACAATGGATGATGTCCATTTCGTGTAAACAAAAAACATTCATGACTGTTCATGTACTCTTCAAGCTTTGCGCACACATGCCGCACTGTGCTTGTGGGACCATAGGAGGCAAAAAGTTCAATTGCGAGGGCAGTGCCAAGCCCCTCTCATAGGCCACACAGCCTGCAAAAGAGTATTTTGCCCTTCAGCAGCTACCTATATAGCCTGTGTGCGTGAAGGCAGTGCAACACATTCAACAATTTTCTGTATGAAGCCAGCAAACGGCAACCTGGGAGCTCGGGCCCATGCCTAAGAAACTGCTGTCGTCCCAAGTGGCAAAGCCTCGACGATCTGTGGCCTGCAAGATCAAAAAGAGCCGCTAGTCATTCTATGTGGCTGTGGAAAGAAAACAAGGGGACCTGTTGACCTAGCTGGAAGGTCAAGCTACATGGTGGGGCTCCAAGTTTTGGCCCCCCCATTTCACCACTGCTCTCCGAGAGTGTTGAAATTAGTGGCAGCTTGTCCAGGCGAGTGATACCACTGGATGCGAACTTTTGCACTTGCGTCGGCACAGCGATTTGCGTCGCTAAAGGAAGCTCAGCACCTGCCACAGGTAGAGAAGTAACAAAGTTGAGCAAAGAAGAAAAAAACTCAGCAACACATGCAGAAAGGTGTCAAGTGGTGTGAAGGCATGTCAAGGCGGCATGGTTGTACCAGTTGACACCAGAAACATACCAAGGCCTGGAGAGCCAAAAAGAAGGACAAGTGCCACCTCAGATCACGATAATTCATCAGATCAAACATCGTCAAAACTTGGAAGATTGGAAGCTGAAATCCAAGTATTCTTGAGACTCCCGCATCTCTGCGTTGCTCTTGGTGGTCGTGGTTGTGGTAACCTTAGGGACAAACTCACGGTGCTTTGTTGGCAATCTAGGATTCTTGGAGTTTCTTCCCCTTGAGTCGTTTCAAGAGCATGTTTAAACAATAAAACATGTTTTTCACGTGAAAAAGCTAAACTGAGTCAACTACACAACATTCTTCAACTGTGCACTCTTCACCTGCGAGCAGGAGCTCAATTGTCAATGTCCCGTAAGAGCTAACTTGCTGGAGCTGTTGGAGCTGTTGGCCACCAACCTAAGAGCGATGGCCTCCAACCTAATAGCAATGGGTTCTGCTGCTTCCACTGTGCCTTCTCGTGCTATTAGTTTCTTGTTTCACATCGACACGAACTACGGACCCAGCCTTCGCAGAATTCAGGTGGATCCTTGGCAGCACAGCGGTCATATGTTGCTGTGCAGGAAAGAGATATGGGTAATGGGTACGGTACAACAAAAACAAAAAACAAATTACAATGCTCCTGCGATGTCCACCTTGAGATTTCATCCAATCAGCACAACAACCCCGAGCTAGCTCTCCACTCAGAAATTCCCCTGAAACAGTATACATCGCAGTATGTAGCTGGATATATAGTTACTTTAGAAGTCAAGTAAAAAGACACATCAACTTTGACAAGAACCTTGCCGCAGTCAAGTGAGGCAATCTAAGAAACCCTAGAAGCCCTTTGCTCGGAAATCGACCAGAAACCCTAGAAACTGCGACCCTTCTCAGCACTCTCTGTTTTGCAAGCGCAGAAGGCGTTGAACCGCCCAAGACTTTCACCTTGTTGGTCGTTGCAAAAGAACAGCAATTGTTGAGCACTAATTATGTGCTGAGTCTCCTCTTCATTGAGAAACTGCCCTTTGTCCTCTGGGCACACGCTCTTGTCACACGTCAGTGGGATCACCTGCGGCCGAGGTTGAAAAATCCCCAGGTTGTGAATGATCCAACTCTGCCTGTTTAGATCCGTTTACATCAGCCACCTTAGCCGCCTTAGTCAAGCCTTCTGGAGCCAGAATGTTTATCTTGGCAAGTCCACTCTGATGAAGCTTGACACCCTTCGTACAGCCCCAAAAATGGGCCCTACGGACACGTTTGACAGGGACCCTTCAAGGCTCAAAGCAACACATTCAAGTCAATTGGACTGTTCATCTACAGTCTACAGATTTAGGCGAGCAGTACCCACCCATACTGACTATGTGACTATGTAGGCCTGTAGGCTTACAAAAGTAGAAAATCGAAGATCAACTGAGGAAACAATATTCAATACTACTCTCTTCCACAATTCAATGTGAACTTCCACAACTTGATTGAAACGTGAAAAGGCGCATGGCGCAGCCTAACATTCCGCACCGCCGCCGAGGCGGCCGAAGCCTCTATCTTCGTATTGAAGCCCCTGGCTGGACAGTTGGCGCAACAGCTTGCATAACTTCCGGTCCTGGCCACATGATTCTCTTTGAACCAAGCCGCATGTGGATAAAACTCGGAGACTCTCTGTTGTGACGCTTCTTGTTGGGGGGGGCGCAAAAAAACACCGGTCACTCAAAAAAGGAAGAAAAACATGATGGCGAACGAGACGAGTGGCGCATCTCCCACGACTGAGTGCGACTGAGTGGCGCAGATGTGGCACATCCCACGCCGCCATTGTGATCAGGGGTGTTGCAGTCGTTTTCGTTGTTCGTGACCTGGTCGCTCGCAGTTGTTTGCACGGAAAACACACTCATTAGATGCTAGATGGATGCCTTGTTTGCCTCTTCTGATAGCAGAAACGCATGTTTTTCAGTATGCTCCCCCGCTTTCCTTTATCTGGGTTCAATAAGCTACCACCCGAAGCGCCGAGGCTTGCCACAGGCTTGTTTCCAAGCCTGATTGGTCAGCGTCCTGTTTCTTGGGCTCCTGGCAATGCCAAAGCGACATCTGCGCCAGGTTGCCTTAGGATGGAAGCCCATAGCATTGCAGTGAGGTTGGATGCAGTGCATGGCACCTCAGCTGGAGCAGGTGGAAAGTTTCAGTGCTGGAAAGTCTCGGTCCTGACCAAAGCAGCGAGCAGTTTAACAAGCAGCTTGAATAGCACCTTTGCCCAGTCCATGATGTCCTCTGCAGCTTGAAACCAACTACTTGGAGGAAACGACGGATATGGAGACCACAACCTTTGGAAACAGCAGCAATACGCTCGCTGTGATCAATGACCCAGCAAGATCCCCATATATATTATATATATATATATTGTATACAATATGAAAGAATGTGTGTATATGTATATACATATTACATGTTTTTTGTTATTGTATATATAATATGCATAGCTTTCAGCTACAGGCCTTGCTTTGAAGGTCAGGCTTTGTTTTAGATGGTGCTTATTGCGTTCCACTCCCAAATGCCACATGCACTTTTTGAAAGCCAAACAAATTGTGTTCGGTCCCAAAGTGCGGCTACGGGCTTTGTGTCCCACAGGGGTGAGTGGGGTCTATATAGACCGTTAGATTGCAACCGTCAGGGAATAGATTCTGAATTGTTTGGCTCCTAAAAGCCTCTCCTACCTTTGTTCCTGTTCAGAGTGACTTGCAGCACGAACACATCAACTATCACCAAGGCACATCTATGCAAAGAAATGCCATCTGTGCGACCAAGGTACTGCGCCACTGTTCTACGTCTCCAAGTGGCTTCGGATTACCCGTGAAGAGCTCTTTGAGAGAAAACTTTCCATTGGCTTCGAATTTGAAGGTTCCTGACGCACGAGTCGACGCGGAGTCAACACCGTCTCGACACCATGTCCCTCTTGACACGTCTCGACGGTGTCCTCGTGTTTGACCCTCAAAGGTGATCTTGATGGTCTTCGCTTTGACGCAGTACATCCTCAGGTGGTGCCAGGTGTCAATATCTGGATTGACCATGACCAGGTCTATCCTCTGCCTAGGCGTTTTCCTTCTTGATTGTCTAGATTGCCTGTCCTGTAACAACAGGGTCAACACAAAGAAGAACCTCTCGCTGGCCAAGCGAAGCTCAGAAGACGTGGCAACAATGTGTTCATGCACCAGGAAGCTTGGTCTTCTTGTCGTCGCCACTGGAATACTCATCGCATTTATTCCAACCATCCCAAGCATACTTCATCACCTGCGGTCCGAACACGGCCGTCTAATGGCAAAACCGTTTTGCTCATACAGAACTGCCCCTGGATATTCTTGGATATGGCGATGGTGAAAGGTCTTGGATTTGATGCGTGGTGGGATGATTCGTACTTTGAATCTTACAGTAACTACAGGGCTGAACTGAGTCAAGTCAACGGGGCTCTTTCAGTGTCAACTAATTCATCTTTTGCTTGCAAATTGCTGAATTTCCGGCCTACTCAACAAGCTCTTTACCCAGATCACGGTAGACGGCTAGGAGGCCCTTGGCTACATGGCAGGCCTGGGTGTTCTTGACATAGACCGCCAATTGGAATTTCGAGGACAATTCGGACTCGGAGCTCATGGAGCTTATGATGTCATCTGAGCTGTTGCCGAGGGTCACCTGAGCAGATCATCCGGGCCATGCTATATCCTCCCTTCCATCTTAAACTTGCGCATCTGGCAGAATTGTGCAAAACAGTAATTCCAAAATGCTCTCGTCAACTAGGTTGGAGCTTGTGCCTCCACCTTTCTGTCACAAGTATGTCGATTCTGTCCAGGACACATCCTGCACAAATCCAGAGTGCGCAAGGCCCTCGTCGTGCTTGGACGACCGAACCAGTCTTCCTCCAGCGCATAGAGCTACCAACTGCCTATTCATCTCCACCCCCCAAGAAGCGGCTACTGTAACAGATCCGTTTATTCACATAAATCCAAGCACCTTGGTTTCAAACATGACTTCAATGCAACCAAATTGTGCAAACAAAAACTGTCCCCAAAGCCAGTAGCTCAGCTATGCCATACAGCAAAGCTGTAACAAACATGAGGGCCCCTCCTTTGGCTGACGTCGCCTGTGGCTGTACCTGAGAACTTGTCAAGCCTATCCATCAACGATGGTCAATGCCAAGTCCAAGCTCCCTTTCTCTCTGTTGTGCGTTCTCTTTGCTTATCTTTTCTTTTCTTTTCCTTTCTTTTCTCTCTTCTTCTCTTCTTTTCTCTGCTCGCTCTCCCTTCTTTTTCTTCTCTTCTGAAGTCTTCTCTTCTCATCTCAACGATTCTCTTCCAGTCTGCTTGTCTGCTCGTTTCTTTTCACTTTAGTCTCCCCGCACTGGAGCTACAAGATGGACCGAGTTGCTGTTCCATCGGCTTGGATTGCAGCTGAGTGCTGACTTGCGCACAGCAGCGGCAACCCTACAAACAGGTGCCAGGCCCAGGACCTTGAAATTGCAAGGTGCACGTAGAAGCTACAAGCTACCGAAGCAACACAAAGCTTGGACTTCGTGCTTTCGCGGGTTCAACAGGATATGTGCTCAAACGGATCACCTGTCCCGTCTTTCTTTCCGTGCAGTACGCTCAAAGGCTTCTTGCCCTGCTATGCTTCAGGCATGGAGGAACTGAATCTATAGGCAACATACAGCGATTTGAGCCAATCTGCCACCAGAGTGAAAGCAGCAAGGTCTCTAGCCAAGATCAACTGACTTACTCATGTTATTTCGATCGTTTCTGTTCCTAAAAATCTAGGAAACAAATGAATAGTGCGAGTGCTTCTTGAAGGAAGCTCCCCCCCTCAGGCGGGAGGAGCTTCCTTGAAGGAGTTAATAGAGCTACTATCTAGCTTACCTCTTCTCTCGGCCTACCCCCGCCCGCAGACTATTTTCCAAAAGAAAAGAAAAAGCTGGCAACACCTTGTGGACTCGTCTACAAAGCTACACCCGACCTCGAGGAGAAAAATGTCCAAGAACTGCTGAAAGGTCGGAAATGTCCCCTGCAGCGGAAAAATGTCCAAAATGGCCTGGCCTGGTTTGTTCGAAACCAAAAAAAAACATCAGACTGACTGACTGCAGCGACTGATCTTCACACATCAGCCTCTTGCAACCCTCGCATGAAGTGTGCCCGTCCAGCTCATTGCCGGTCAGTCAAGCAGGTCCCGAATGCAAAACTAGTGCGACTGAGTGAGAGAGAGAGAGAAGAAAAAAACAAAAGGGGGGAGCCGAGTGCCTCTGCATAATGCTCCAAGCGACCACGGAATGCCTCTGTGGCCTCAACCCAAGTGCCATATGCCCGAGTTCGCGGGTGCATGAAATCACTTTCAAACAACCCCCAGAACACCTCAAGATTCTGTTCAAATGAGAACGCAAAGAGGAATTAGAATCATGCAGGCCGTGCCAGTCTGTGTAGAGCACTAAGTAGGAATAATGTGTTCGTTTGACTGCTCCGGACAGGATTGGTGTTTGGCAGGGCACGTTTCTTGTTGCTTGTAAAGTTGAGTTTAAATTAAAGTTTAAAGGCAAAAAAAACAACTTTGACTTGAACAGGGGACAGCAGTGACCTAAAGTTGGCTCGACTGCTGATGATGCAAGGCAATTCCAGAGTATATAAAGCCCATCATAATATGCTCTTGGACGAAAAGCAGGGGCCTCACCTCTAACCTTTGGGATGTGAACATTTAGTGTAAAGAATTGTGCCCCTGGCAGACACAGCCCACATGTACTCAAGGAAGTGTAGATCAGGGCGCAGCGTCATGACCTTGGACCGCTGGAAGAGACGCGCTTCCATTGCAAGTCTTACGGCACGCTGCCACGGCCGCACTTCACAAAGGCATAGCCACAATAGCTGGATGTATGATGATATATGTAGAGATGTGGAGAATGGTATAGATGTACTTGGGAGTATCTGTCACATATCCTGTTGTTTTCGTCCTTTGATATGCAGGCTGAGCTCATAGCTCCCGCGTTCAATAAATATGTGCGACCTAGGTGAAGGAGTGCTGCAAAATGTGTTCAGTTCAGAATGCCAAAGTCTTCAGAAAAGAAGCAACGAAATCCTGCGATCAACTGCTTCGGTGAATGAAGTACTCGTGAGAAAGCTGAAAGCAACATCTGAGTGCTCGTTCTCGACCATTTTTTGAGCGTCTGAGATCTCGTGATCTCGGAATGTCCACCCCATGGTAGCACCGTCATCCAACTGCGAACATGTCTCCGAGACTTGAGAGTGAGATTCCTACGGTCCTACGGCAGTCCTACGGTTCAAGGAGCTGTCAGCCAAAAAGACTTTACAGTAACTCTATATAAGCTCTCAACGAGTTGGTTGCTCAGAGCCCTGCTTCCATCATGACGAGAGATGTCAAGCTGCTCCTGTAGCTCTGGCTTCACAAACTTTACAAATGTCTAGACATTGAACCCCAAAACATAAAATCTTACCGTACTCCTTATTTTGGGTAAACAGTAGCCGAAAGTTTTGTTGCTGTAAGTCTTCGCTTGCAAAATAATACAGTAAGTCTTGCAACCCCAGAGTCCTGGTGCATCTCATACCCTGATGCGAAGGGCACTGGCCCCAGATCAAAAAGTTCCTCAGAATACTAGTGTGAACATCTGGAAACCTTTTTTTGGTGGAAACGGTGCATTATACACCTGAAAATGCTACCAGAATCTACCATTACCAGACCAAATGTCAAGATGCGAAATGGATATTCCATGACATTCCTGAATCATCCTGAGTCTCAGCAGAACGTGTCTCAATATGTCACACCCAACTCCCTTCGCCAAGCGTCGTCGCAGTTCTCCAGCACTAGGGTGTCGGCCTCACGATCGTCGCTTTCGTGTCTTTGGTGACGCCTCTGAAATGCCTCTGTCTTCGGCGCGCAGCGCTGGGGCAGCAGCATCCAAGACAACCACCTCAACTTTGGCCAAAGGCGCTGTGGTTTGAGGCTTTTTTTCAGCATTCAAGACTGGGCATAGTTCAAATCCTGATTGCAGCCAACAGTGCAAACGCATGCAAAGGCTGGGACAAGAGTAAAAAGGGCAACTATGTGAGTGTCGTTCCTACAAATGGCCTATGGCTATGGGCCCCCCACGCGATCAAAAGGGAGGCTCCAGGCTGCCAGTTGCGGGAAGACAGGTTCGAGGCCACGCTCTTCAAACCACGCATCAGAGCCATGCCTGTCAAGGGCGGGATCCGAGTCACAGAAAGACCAGGCACCCTAATGCACCATATACCTCTTGCAGCAGCCACTCTGTGAAAGGTTAGCAACCAAACAAAAACATCTCAGGAAGGGAAGTTCGCATGGTCGCTGAGATCTCACGATACGTCACATTGCCAGCGTCAGCCTAGACTTCGGCAAGACTGGTGGTCGTGTCCTTGGTGCAACATGTTGGGCTCCAGATACCACCCAAAGACCTAGGGGCCCAACAATGTGGTAAAGACAGCATACAGATAGATCTCCACAACTCTTACTTTGTTTCTACAGTGCTCCAGCTAACAAGAAGCTACTAGGAACAAGTGCATCGCTTCTAGTAACAAGTG